TGCCCAGGCAAGCAGGGCTCCATCACCTGTAACAGTTCCTTGGGAAGACAGACACCATCACTCCAAACATCCCCCTTCCCCTTCCTTCTTCTTCCCCCAGCTTTTTATACCAAGCATGACGTCACATGGCATGGGATATCCCTTTGGTCAGTTGGGGTCAGCTGTCCTGGCTGTGTCCTCTCCCCCCCCCCCCCCCCCCCCCCCCCCCCCCCCCCCCCCGTGGGACAGGGCAGGACCCACGGTGCGCACTGGCCCCCAAGGATGAAGGCACAAACCCTCTCGACGGCCCAGGAGCAGCGGGGACAAACCCAGGAGCATCAGAGAGGAGCCAGGAGAAAGCAGGACTCGTGAGAGCCAGTGCCACAGCACCAGGTCCAGGGAGACCGGTGGTGAGCAAGGACAAAGGGGCACATACTGGGCAGCGCTGGGCATGGGGATGGGCTCAGCCTCCGAGAAGGGAGGGGAAAGGCCCTGGCTCTGGGTGCAGAGGGGAGCGAAGGGTCACTGGCCTCAGGGCAAGCAGAGAGGAGGAAGGGAGAAGCTAGAGGTGCAGAGGAAGGTGAGGAGGCACCAGGACCCCCCCCATACCTCCAAATTGGCTTTACGGTCCCCCACCTGCCAGGCCCGGGCGGCTGTGGCTGGGCATGCCAACTAAAGGCAGGGACCCCCACCAGCAGCACATGCCTGTCCCAGCCCCCTTCTCCTTGTCCCTGTGCCTGGAGCGGTCTCAGCTCAGCAGGGAGGGAAAAGGCAGAGAAAAGGCCTGGAGGGGGAGGGCCCCTCTGCTCAGCGCCCTGGGGACAGTCAGTCCCACCCCACTGGAGCAAGCCCCTGGGGGGGAGGATGAGGACAATGTTCTTGGCAGAGAACCAGGTCCCACGTCAAAGGGAAAGCGAAAGCCTCCAGGGAAGAGCCAGCCCCTGTACACCCCAGGACTGGGCACACGGGGAACCTTTCATGCCCCAGGGCACGCAAATGCCATCACCAGGTGGGGAGACAGGAGAGCCCAGGGAAGGCAAGAAGTCGTTTCTGTCCCTGTCACCTGTCTGGATGAGGCTCCTGGTGCTGGAAGGGAGGGCAATGACAGCCAAAGGGCTTGGGCACAGCACCTCCCATCCTGCTCCTTCCCCAGTCCACTGAGGGAAGGGGAGAGCACAAACCAGAACAGCCTCCATCTGTGAGGAAAGGGGTTAGAGCAGCAGACAATTCAGGCACCAGCACTTTCAAGCTGGGATGAGGCAGCCTCTGACAGCTGATGCAGACACACAGGGATCCAATGAAAGTGCAACTTGGATTTCCTCTTCCCTAGAACAAGCCCACGTGTGGTGAGGAGCCGGGCTCTGCCTGGCTAGGGTGCGCGGAAGGCGTTGGTGGCAGCACCCGCAGCAGCGTTGGCTGCGGCGGTGCGCACCGCCTGGTTGGAGAAGACCCCGGCAGCAAACTCCTCCTGCGCTTTCTGGAAGCTGGCGCCCGTCCGGCGGTACAGAGAGTGGATCTGGAAGAGAACAACAGGCTCAGGGCACTGCTCCTGTTCTGGGTCCCCAGTGGATGGAGCTGTGCCCCCATGCCTGCCAACCCCCCCACCTCCTCCTCCCAAAGGCACACTCTGGCCCTGAGGTTCCATCCAAACTCACCCTTTTCAGCATAATGATTCCCAAAACAGCCACTGCTGTGAAGAACACGGACACCAGGATCATCATCACAGCCACAGCTGTGTTCTTCCGCAGTGCTATCAGGCTCAGTATCCAGCCACTGCAAAACAAGAGGGAGTTCCCCACAGGTTCCCCCTTCCCCACCCGCCCCCTCCCTTCCTGGGGCACTCAGCCGGGCCAGGCTCATCACAACGCGCACCTGAACCCCCAGTTGGGTATGCCAATCGCCTGCAGCACGTACATCACGTTCTGGGCAAAGAAGACGAAGAAGAAGACAAAGAAGTTGAAGGAACTGTCACTCCTAGGAGAAAGAGACAGGCAAGGTCAGGCCACAGAAAACAACTCTCAAACCTTCCTCAGAGCAAGGAGAACGTGCAGGCCGCAGAGGTGCAGCCACTGGTTAAGGGACTTAAAGCAAGGAGAGATCCAAGGGAGAGGTACAAGGCGGTGCAGGGGTCTTCAACAGCAAGGTCCATGGGAAAATGTGTTCCCATGTCCTCCTTAGAACAGCCCCGTGCCAAGCAGGGTTCGTTCCTCAGCCAGCAGCTCAGTGCAGAATCACCACATTCCCAGGCCCAAAGGCCACCAGGAGCTGGGATGCCTTCAGTGCCGCCCTCGGGGGGGGGCTGTCCCACTGAGCAGCCCAGTCTCCCCAGCTTTGAGCACCAGCCTCGCAAGCATCCCACCCCACTGCCTTGCTGGGAGCCCGAGCAGATACACACCTGAAAGCTTTGTACATGGGCCTGTACCAGCAGACAAAGGAGCAGGGCGTGTAGAGGAGAGCCCAGAGAATGGAGAGGCCAAACCCAGAACCGAACGAGGGGTCCACACAGAACCAGGCCAGCGAGGACAAGAAGTTCAGGAAGAGAGCAATGGTGCTGGCTGAGAAAGAGGACACAGAATCATAGAATCATTGAGATTGAGAGGGACCTTTCAGATCATCAAGTCCAACCATCAGCCTGACACTGCCCAAACCCCACTGACCCATGGCCCTCAGCACCACGTCTGCCCAGCTTTTAAATCCCTCCAGGGATGGCGACTCCCCCACTGCCCTGGGCAGCCTCTTCCAGTGTCTGACAACCCTTTGGGTGAAGAAATTTCTCCCAATATCCATCCTAAACCTCCCCTGGTGCAACTTGGGGCCATTTCCTCTTGTCCTGTTGCCTGTGACTTGGGAGAAGAGACCGACCCCCCCTGGCTACACCCTCCTTTCAGGGAGTTGAAAAGAGTGAGGTCTCCTCTCAGCCTCCTTTTCTCCAGGCTGAACACCCCCAGCTCCCTCAGCTGCTCCTCACAAGACTTGTGCTCCAGACCCCTCACCAGCTCCATTGCCCTTCTCTGGACATGCTCCAGCCTGTGGGTCAGGCTCCCCCCATCACCGAGGGCTCAGCCCCAGGCACCGAGCATTAATTGTGATTTTTCCAGAGCAGCAGCAGCAGCCACCCGAATGCCACCCACTTGTTCCTCAGCCTCCTCCCAGAGCCTGCCCGCCCGTTTCCCCCGGGGCCTCACCCATCCAGAGGTAATACATGGTGGAAACGGTCTTCTGGAAGTCAGCGGGGATCTCCACCGGGATGTCCTGGTAGAAGCAAGGCTTCACCGGGCAGAAGGACGGCAGCGGGGGCCAGTTGTTCGGCCTCACTGGGGAGGGAAGGAGACAGCGGCAGTGCCGGGGGGGCAGCGGGGAAGGACGCCGCCCCCCGGCCCCGCCGCCCACTCACCGGTGCCGCCGAGGGCCGCGTTCTGCAGCTCCCGCTCCCGCCGGTCCAGCTCCTCCGCCTTCCGGTTCAGCTCCTCCTGCCGCTTCAGCAGCTCGGCCGTGGCAGCCGCCGCCGAGGCCTGCGAGGGGGGAGCG